CTCCCACCAGAGAAACAGTGCTATCCATGTATCTTCTGTGAGAATATTTGGGATGAAAGAAGGATAGGAAGGAACAGATGACAAGCACACAATTTTAGTTTGCTAGGTGGTGTCATACACCTGTAATCCCAGGGGGTGGCAAGGTAGCTAGCTCAGTGGTAGAGCACTTGCCTAGTGGTCTTGGTACAAGCACCAAAGCTCAATTCTTCTTCTTCTTCTTCTTTTTTTTTTTTTTTCTTGGAATTGGGGATTGAACTCAAGCCATTGTGCTTGCCAGGGAAGCGCTTATTCTACTGAGCCATCTCCCCCAGCCCCAAGGCTCAATTCTTAGCAATGAAAAAAAAAAATAGCAAAATTAATTTGGATTATGGTTACATGATTGTATACAAGCCAAGCAATATTCATATCATTATTAACAAGAAATATCAAAACAATTTTGTAGCTATTTTTTATTATAGCTACTTTCGGTATCATTTTTGTAGGTATTTTTCTAGCTATTTTTGTCATTTTTAAAAAAATGTACAGTTTTATTTTATTTTCCAATTTTTATTTTTTATTAGTACAGGTTCACATCATGGTGGCTGGGAAACATAGAGCCAGCCGTCCTTCCTCCCTCTTCCTCTCGCTCCTCTCTTCACAGCTAGTTGTTTCCTTTGCTGCGCAGAGCTTTTTTATTTTTATGATCCCATTTGTTAATTCCCAGTGCTATTTCTTGTGCAGCTGGGGTTTTGTTCACAAAGTCCTTACCTATGCGTATGTCTGCAGCAGTTTTACCTGTTTCATCTTCTAGCACATTTAGATCTTTGATCCATCTTGGTTTTCTTTTAGCATGCTGAGAGATAGGGGTCTAGATTTAATCTTCCGCATGTAGGTAATCGGTTTTCCCAACACCATTTGATAGAGAGGCTGTCTTTCCGTGAGTGATCAGGTAGCTTAGTGTATCTTGAGTTGTTTCTGCTTCCTTTATGCTGTTCCACTGATCCACAGGCCCATTTCTATTTGTTTTCTCTAAGACTGTGAGGATTGCTATAGGTATTTTGATTGAAATTGCATTAAATGTCTTTATCAGTTTGGGAAGTTTGACCATTTTGACAATGTTGGTTGTGTTTTTCCAGAAATGGGGTATCTTTTTTCTTTTCCATTTCCTCTTTTTCTTTTTCTTTATCTGAGAGAAGTTCTCACTTGAGCTCACTATGCAGCCCAGGCTGACCTTGAGCTCTCTGAGATCTTCCTTAACCTTGAGTGCTGGGATTTCAGGTGTCTGGCTTGGCTCCCATTCTTTATAAAACATTAAAAAGCCTCTGTTTTAAGTGTGAACCTTCGGTCCCAGTAGATTCTTGTTCTTTGTGTGAATGTGTTTTATCCATCTGCATTCAAAAAAGTTCTCTGGGGCTTCAGGTTAGGAGCTTGCTTCAGTTTGCTCTCCTTTGCCCCACACTTCTTTGGCTAAAGTACTCAGATGGCCACATGTTCCTCAGAGTGTGCTCCTCTTCTCTTAGATGCCTTTTAGCCCATAGAATCAATTCTTTGGTTTTTGTTTTTAGTTTTTGGGGTTTTTTTTTGTTTGTTTGTTTGTTTTTTGGGGTTTTTGGGGGTATTTTGGGGAAGGGTCTACAGGGTGTTCAGGGTTTCACTACTAGACGGGACTTGTGATTCTCCTGTTTACAGCCTCCCAAGAGCTGGGATTATAGGCATGCGCCACCATGCCCAATCTCAATCTTTGTCTCAGCATGCCCCAGGGGTGGGACCTGCAGAGCAGGTCTGGGGATGAACCCTGGTCCCTGTGCCTGCTTGTAGGCGCTTTAATCTGCTAGCTATTTGGCTGGCCCTAGATTCAATTCTTTGAATGTCTATATTGTCATCTTTCCTCAGGGTTCAAATGTGTTATACTAAACAATTTTGGGACTGTACAAGGAATGAATTTCCTATAGACAGGGTGTCACAGGCTGGGGGATGTTAGGCCCCGGATTCAACCTTCAGCACCAGAATGAAAAAAAAATATGTCACAATTCCTAAACACCAAGGGGGCACAATTAGAGGTGAAGGGATTGATGTAAGGGAATGATACTTTTTGTGTGTGTTGGGGGGTTGGGTGTCAGGGTCTTGCTATGTAGTTCAGGTTGGCCTTGAACTCACTGTGTAGGATAGGCTGGCCTCAACTCAAAGGCAGTCCTCCTGCCTCAGCCTCCCGAATGCTGATTGAGTGCTTAGATTACAGCTGTGGGCCACCATGCATGGCTAGGGTACTTTTCTTTTTTTAAAATCATGATAGAAATTTCATTTTACTTCTGGCCATGATTACATGACTCAATATTGAACTAAAAGCTGAAAAAAGAGCGAATAGAAAGAAAAAATAGATGCTCTCCCCACTCCATACTAAGGATTGAACCCAGTGCCTTTGCACTAAGTTATGTCTCCACCCTCTTTTTACAAGACATTAAACATTTATTTGTTTATTTATTTATTTGTATTTAGTACAGGGTCTCAGCACACAGACTCATAGTGATCCTCCTGTTTTCAGCCAAGTGTTACGAATACAGGCATGGGGAGATGGCTCAGTAGAATAAGCGCTTTCCTAGCAAGCACAAGGGCCTGAGTTCAATCCCTAGTTCCTCAAAAAAAAAAAAAAAA